ATTGAATTTAATCTGCCATTTTGTTGCCCAGTCACCCAGTTTTGAGAGATCCTTTTGTAGCTCTTCGCAGTCTGCCTGGGACTTAACTATCTTGAGCAGTTTTGTATAATCTGTAAATTTTGCCATCTTACTGATTACCCCTTTTTCTAGATCATTTATGAATATGTTGAATAGGACTGGGCCCAGTACAGACCATTGGGGAACCCCACTAATTACCTCTCTCCAGTCTGAAAACTGACGATTTATTCCTACTCTTTGTTTCCTATCTTTCAACCAGTTACCAATCCCTTTGAGACCTTATGGCCTTTCACTGATCCCTGTCCTACCTTCCTGGTTTCCCCCCTCTGGGTTTGCCAGCCCAAATGCATCTCCCTTCTCCCAGGGAGTGACTGTTGACATTCCCAGCAGTCCCCCTCTGCTGCCAATTTCCTGACTTTATTATCCTAGCCCAGCTCTTTCTCCCTCAGCTGGGCTTCCTCATTCAGTCAGGGGATTGCTTAGCCATCTGATTCCTCTAGCTATGGCCCGTTGGGTTAATTAGCCCCCTTCTCAGTCTGCATTAACCCTTTCAAGGCAAATGTGGGGTGAACACCCCATCACAGGGACTTAAACATATATTTGCCTTAAGGTTAGGCAATATAATTTAAAGTTGTTGTTTTAATGCTAATAATGCATGGTTGAAGAGTTTTTACAGCTTTAGAAGAACTTTTCTGTGGCTTGAGTTGAAGGGTGGAGATTAGTCTTGAAGTCTCCGATTCCCCGGAATTGGGCCCCGCGCCTTAGGCGCCTTTTTAATTTCTTTTACTCACCCTGGCAGCGGTCCGCTCCGGGGTCTTCGGCGGCGGGGAGGTCCTTCAGTGCCGCGGAAGACGCGGAGCGAACACCTGGACTGCCGCCGAAGTGCCGCTGAACACCTGGACTGCCGCTGGGTATTCGAATCGGGCCCCGCAGGTTCTAAAGCTGGCCCTGGTTCCTGATCTACCTTCTTTATTCTATTCATTATTTCATATACTTTATCTCGTCCCCTCCCATTTATCTTCTTTCTAAGGTAAACAATTCCAGTTTTTTTTCAATTTCTTCATATGAGAGTTTTTCCATTACATTGATCATTTTTATTGCCCTTCTGTGAGCATGTTCTAATTCTGTAATATCCTTTTTTAGATGAGGTGATAAGTGCTGCAACAGAGTATTGTGGATTCGGCCACACCATTGATTCATATAATGGAATTGTAATATTTTCTGTATTATTCTCCATCTCATTTCTTATGCATCCTAAAATCTTGTTTACTTTTTTGACTGCAACTGCACATTCAGCAGAGGTCTTCACTGAGCAGTCCACATAATAATGCCCAGGTCCTTTTCCTGAGTTGATACAACTAATTTAGAAATTTGTAAAGTGCGTGAGTAGTTTTAATTTTTCCCTCCAATGTACATTCCTTTGCATTTATCAACACTGAACTTCATTTGCTATCATGTTTCCCATTCACCTAGACGGTGTAAATCTCTAAATTTCTTCACAGTCCTTTCTGGTCCTGACTAACCTAAATAACTTGGTCCACTGCTAATTTTGCTAGTCACTAAGCATTACTCAGCCCCTTTCCAAATCATTAATAATTATGTTAAACTAAACATAGATAGCCAACAATGGTGACACATACAGTGATCAAATTGCAAGTAAGTAAAAATAGTCCTGAATGCTTGTTAAATTAGACTGTAAATTGAACAAAGTAGTGCAAGTGGAATAATTATGATGTACCAATTTTATAGTTGCGATTGAAAGAGCTTGAGCAGGAAGCCCATCGAGCTGCTGGACAACAATTCCTATTGACCAGCAGTAGTCAGCTGAGAGAGGTACTGTTTAGATTGCTACTTTTCTTTAAATTATTAACACTAAAAATATTATTCATGGAGAGGGATTATAAAGCAGTAATGCTCAAAACTTTGGAAATCTTGTCCTTATAGTACTAGTAATATAATTTTCTGATGATAATGGAGGATATGTCATCAGCTTTCTCACAAACATAGCGTTGCCCCTTCTTGACCTGAGCAAAGTTTGGGGCCCTGGGGATGTTCCAGCTGGAAGAAGAAACTGATGGAGTCTGGTATTTTCTTTGATGAAGTCTTGTTTATTTTTTAACAAGGAATGTACAAACAGGGCCGGCTCCAGGCACCAGCCCACCAGGCATGTGCTTGGGGCGGCGCCTGAAGGGGGGCAGCGCGGCGGGGCGCTCCGGCCCGAGAGTGGGGCCGCGACTGGGCTCGCCGCCCTCCCTGCGGCGCTCTGGCCGCCGGGGAGAGCGGAGCCGCAGTGGGCTCGCCGTCCTCCCCCCGGCGCTCCGGCCGGTCGGGGAGAGCGGGGCCCCGCCGGGCTCGCCGCCCTGCTCCCGGCGCTCTGGCCGCC